AACTCTAGAGTATAAATTGTGATTTACATTTTAAGTTCAATCATCTAACAGTTACTAAAATCAGGTTAAGAAAAACAATAACAGTGTTAGTACTTTTTATTTATAAAACAGAAGCATTAGACTCAACATTAATATGCCAAACGCAAGAAAATGGTATAATAACTTTATTTCATCCAAAGCTTGGAGTATGTCCACTATAAAGGAGATGTAGCCTCAAAGATAATGAAAATGCTTCCCAGCATTTACTAAGTTTTTACTACTGACACCTGCACATCTATTTTCCGCTAGAGGAAATATTTCTAGCACAATCCAAGGTGCTGTTTACCTTTAAAAGTACAGATTCAGCATATTCTTTCTAAATGAATGGGCTTGTAGTCCCAAACATATCAAACTAAATTATTCATTCTTCTCAATCCTACCACAAACATTTTACAAAAATCTGTGAAGATAAATCCCAGGTCATTAAAGGGAAAGGTGAAATTGGGAGTCATCGTTTTAATGTTTGTCTGAACTGTTAGCTAAATCTTTCATCATCCACCTCTTTTCAGCTACATCAGAACATAACTCTTCATATCTTGCACTCAGATGATACTGTTCTACTTTTCTTTCCAGCAGCAAGTTGTCCTTCCTTTCCTTTTTCCTTCTTCCCTTTCTTCTTTTTTAAAAGCGAGTCACTGTACAGATACTTATTCTCTACACCACTTCCCTTTTGAAACATTAAACTGACACTGGAACTGACTGCACAAGATTGCATTTTCTCTTCCTAAACAACTTGAATTGAAAGGTTACTTAGTGTAACAATATTTACTTGCAGAATTGTGTTGTTACCAAGGGTATAATGGATGGTGGCTATGCAGGTTTACGCAAGAATGAGTGAAGCATGAGGCATTAGCCATGTGTTTGACATGTTTCAAATTGCTATAATCCAGCATTAAACACACCCAGCAATTCATGCCATTTCTTGCAGCCATAATCTTGAATAAAGCGTGCACAACCACTTATTATATAAATTAGTATATGACTCCCTGTTATAGTCACAACAGTGCTTTTGTGTTTATTTTGCATCAAGATGTAGTCTTTTATTTGTACAAATAGCAGGATATAAAGACATAGCTCAATTAGACCTCCTTACTTTATGATAGGGTAGTCCTGAATGCTAGACTTGTTGGTTTTATATTTCCTCTTAGAGTTATGGGTTCCATTGGTATAAAACTGTACCATGTGAGACAGACATTTGCCAGGCAATAACAGAAACCTGCGTATATCCTATTCCATATTCACTACAATGTTCAAAAATGAGAAACCTGACCTGTTAACTATGTTATCTCAACCACCACCAGGGACACTATTGGTCCTTGTTGCGTACTCAACTTTTCCCTCTCTACTTCTCTTTCATCTTTTTCTCTGCCTCTCTCATTTTTCCTACAGCTCTCCCTGCCCTCTTCTTTTGCACCACTGACCCCATGTGTATATATGCATATGTATGTATATGGATAGATAGATGATAGATAGATAGGTAGAGAGATGATAGATAGATAGATAGATAGATAGATAGATAGATAGATAGACAAATAGATCTATATATGTCAAAGAAGGGAGAAATAACCTCTACTTCCCTCCACATTCCTACATACACATACACTTCATCTTATAATCTTGGATCCTTAATGTTAAACCTCAATTTTTGGCATGCTATCATTTAATGAAAAAATGGATTAAAATTACTTTCTGAAAAACATATATAGTATATATAAAAAGTTTATAAGAATTTATTTCTGTGAACTTTCCTTAAATAAAGTTATAGTGACATTAAAATATATTTTATGTCCAAGATCTGGTTTCTTTCAGTATCTAATTTATTGAACAAAATATATACATTAAATCCAAAAGACTTTTAATATGGCATTTAAATGAAAGTACACCATAAGATTGAAAAGTTGTATTTTAAATAATTTTAATAATTTAAAAATTGTCAATATTAAGTATTATTAAATATTTCTATGTGGATTCACATAATAAAGGGTTAAATATGAGGAAAACCTGCATATGCAACAAAAAATCACATGCATTTATCTCAAAATATCAGCTAAATTCTGATTTTAAAAACTTGACTGTGACATAAAACTTCTGTAAGACACTAGCATTTAAATAATGAAAACTTTTGTGCTCTAGTGGAATTAATTCATCATGGATACTAGGCACATTGCTTTTGAAATTTCGTACTGCTTTGCTAAAAGTCTTTAATGCTAAGATTGCCTAATAAATCAAAATGCCAAATATAAAGGACATAGTTGAATGTGTAAGAACAAAAATGGAACAAGAACATGAATATTTTTATTTTTAAAAAACTGAAACAGGATGTCCTTTACACATGATTTGGGAAAAGATATCAGCTGTTTTAGAAACTCATACAATCTATATTATAACTTGCAGTATTATGTCAAGTAAATAAAAATTAAGCTGTTTAAAAGTATTTACCACTGCTTTTCAGTTGCATAAA